GTACGTTAGAAAATTATACAGAAGTTTTTCGGCTACCTGTTATGAAGTTCCCTTTTGGCAACTGAAATTCCAGTCATGGATGGAGCAGACGATCTTTAGTTTCCCATTGATTTCTCTGCCATCTTCTCATGATAATTATAATTGTCCCCATAAACATAAATGGAGCGTCTGAAAGATGCCATTCTTAGAGAACAAGCAAGAAGGAGCAGGTGTCCACTATAAACATAAATGGAGTGTCTGAAAGATGCCATTCTTAGAGAACAAGCAAGAAGGAGCAGGTGTCCACTCGCCTTCCTCTGGTTTGTCCCTTTGCCCGTCCCATCCTCCCAGCCATCCGTACTCCAGAGCCTTTGCTCCTGGGCCAGTCATGTCAAACCTGAGTGGGCAGTGTTGGGTGATGTCTGGATATAACAGATTGCTCTGGAAGTCATAAGCCAGTACTGTTAGTACCATGCTTATTTGATGACTGTATTCAGGACTGACCAACAGTGGAGGGGTGAGAAGTATCAGAGGCGTCTCCTGCCACTTCAGAGCTTCTGTCTCCAGCAGGAGAGGGGAGGAGGGGCACAGGTGGCAACACTGTCTGACAGAATGGCAGCTACTCAGGGTGGACGACCAACAGGGAGGGGCTAGGAGCTGAAGAGTTTGTATTAGGAGAGGTCATCAGGGCTTCTCAGGTGTTGGAAGAGGCAGTGAGACTTCTGGTTGATGTGGTGAGAGAGGGAGTTCAGAGCCGGTTAGCAGGGTTGGCAGAGCCTCAGTGAAAAGCTCTAGCTTGTTTGGTACAGCTACTTCCTATATCTGTGGGAGATGTTTCTGCATGGCCTCCCCAAAGAGGACACGAAATGAGGTTCAGAATGCAAGACTCTCTTCCTCTTTGTTGCTTCCCACATTGCCTGAAGATTGCTTTTATGAAATGTTCATACATACACTGCCCATATTTTGAGTTAATTTTGCAGACCCAAGAACCTTTTTCAGTGGTGATTTCCATGGTCTCTCATAGGACCTTTAAATTCTGCACCTGCATTTTTGTCTGCTGGCCAGCATAGTGTGGAAGAGGGTGAACTAGTTAAGATGGCATTTAAAAAAAAAATTAAAGAACACTAAGTCCTAGAGTTGTTATGAATACTGCCACTGGTCAGTATAACTCTGCCCCTACCCTCCAGCCTGGGCCTGCCCCTTCCCAGCAGGAAGGTGGGGTTTGTATGTCTCAGTCAGGTCTGATTCTGATGCCCTCATGCTGGTAGCAAGGGCTGGTTAGAGAGAGAAAAGGAGAGGCCAGCAGCAGCATTGGGGTAGGGTGGGGAAGAGTTGGTTGACATGGGCATAGAAAAAATAAAAGCAGTACACTAGCCCTGAGACTATGGAAGGTTGAATCATGGGGCAGTGGAGGAGAAAAGAAACCGAAGTGGACAAAGGATTGAGAAGCTGAGGGCGAGTTAAGCTAAGTTCCTGCACTAAACCACACTGAAAATATTTCCTTGATATTGACAGCTGAAGTTGAAATGTTTGGTATGTGTCTTTTTTGTGTTGAAATAAAGATGACACCCAAGCTGGCTTTCCCTCTTCAGAGCCCAGGGTGCACAATGCCTTGTAAATGTCAGAAGGGTGGATAGATCTCCCCTTTGCTTTCTCCCTGCAGGAAATACCAGAAATAGCCCACCACCCTATGGCTTTCGGCTCCCACCAGAAGAAGAAATGAGGAGACAGCGGCTTCACAGATTTGACGGCCAGTGATGTGGCACCGTGTCCTGGGAAGACATGACCTGGGTGTGGACTCCTAGCCCATTTGGTTCACTCCCCAAACCCCTAATTGGTTTTAAACAAAGGCAGAGCACACCATTGTTGTTCAGATTGTTCCTGTCTGCCATGAACTCTCACTCTGTGGCCCCTGTGTATCTGGATTCACAGGCCCTGCTGATGTGTCTGGAAACCAAACTTGGCCTAGGGAGCTGGCAGCTTTCCCCAGTGGGCCATCTGACCTGTGCTCTATCCCAAACCAGTCACCGCTTCAGCTCTGGGGCAGGGTTTCCCACTTCTGTCCTTACCTCCTAACTCAGTGGCATCTCCACATTGGGGTTGAAGACCATGACCTTAACAGGAAGGTGTTTTCACCGGATGGGAAGATGAGCACTCTTTCTGCCTGGTGTGCGAGGTGCTCTATTTGCCAGGAGGTGCAGCACCACCCCCACTATTCTCCTGGCTTATGTCCATGATGGCTTGGGTTGTGGCTGCCTCCCCTGCAAGCTCTGTTCTCCTTCATGCAAGCACCTCAGGTCCTCAGGCCCCTGGGTCTGGCTGGTGTTCACAGCTCACCCCTTTGCTCTGCACGTAGGCGTCTGATGGGAGGAGAACCTGGAAGCTCTAAAGTGGAGAAAGTGCCTGCACTCTCTTTAGCTCTCCAGTGGCACCATGGATTTGGATTCACAGCATTTCCCAGTGTGGCCCTGCCACCCAGAGCAGAGCGAAGCGGTCCAGTAGACTGGTCACCAGAAATCCTTCTTGCAGGAAGTATTTTTTTTTCTTCATAAAAGTGCCTTTCCATTGGCCATTGTAATGGCTGTTTGTTCTTAATGAGTGTCCAAAAAATGTCCCAGGGAGCTGCAGTGTTTAATTCACAGATTGTCTGAGCCACATAAGACCTCACTGGTGCTCGTGCTCTGGGAATAAAAAGACAAAGCCAGACTATCCCTAATGTCATATTGTCATGGAGGTGTTTATTTTTAAAGAGAATTAGGAACAGGAAAAAAAAATAGGATCCTCCATTCATGTATAGTTTTCTGATTGTAAAAGTAGTAGACAAGCCTGTATGTGAAATGCAAACATCTGGAAGAATATTCCAAATGTTAACACAAATTATCTTTGGAGGTGGACTACATGGCACTTGACTTTCTCTTGTTTACAGTTTGTTTTTAAAACTGGGTGTGGGTGTGCATTGTCTTTGCAGTCAAGAAAACTGATTTATATGCTAAATCAAGAGACATGTAACCAGTAAGACAGACAAAAATAGATACATGTCCATTAAAAAAATTACAGTATATAAATAAAAACACAAACTCATGGTTTCAAAATCAGCTATATTCTCACCACTTGGAGGTACTGCTCAGGGGTAGTATTTTTAGGATATTACCTTCTCAGTTTTTCTTTGTATCCATTTGACAAATTTGGAGCATGCCAACTGTGCAGCTCTGTGTCTAGATCCTAATCAGAATCTCCCTGGAATGTCCTTGACACAGTTGCTGAGCTAAGCAGTTCACTGGAAGCTGGAGCATTCAGATGGCTACCCAACAATGACACCTGAGCTACTTGGTTTAATTTATAATTGATGTAAAACTACAGCTACTTGTCGATATGAATTATGCCTGTGAGTCTGGTACCTTTAGACATATTTAAATTAGAATGGTCAAGCTAAATTATTCTTGTCTCCCAAACTATACATTTGACTTCATACTACAGTTCGAAGTAACTTCTTTCTTAGGTGCCATCTTTTGGTAGCCCCTGGAAAACCTGACAAAACACTCCCGTTTTGCCCTTCTTGTTAGTACTGTGCACACCTACACTGAGCGTATCTGGGAACGGGGGTGTGCTTTGTGAATGAACCTAGAACAAGGCCTATTCATACCTTCCCATGCCTCCCTGCCTCTACCTCTCCACCACCCAAAGGAAACTTACTTTAGTTTCCCACCAGAGTTATTTTCCAATTGTATCAGAAGTCCCCTAACTTGTATATGGAAACATTTTATTATGTTTTTATGTAGCTTGAGTCCAATAATAGCATTTGATTACTTTATTTGACTTGTCAGATACAAAAACACTGGAATACCAATTTTGGATGGTATAGTTATAATGTGCACATTTTATTTATCACCAGCCATTTATTACAGATTTGGGAAAACATCATTTTAGTTATAAGTATAAACCAAGTATTTTTTCATAATAAATATTTTCTGGAAACTATGATGATTATTTTTGTTCAGTGAATGGGCTTGCCTGTAACTGGTACTTACTGTTTTCTGTGTCTGGGTTCCTTCCCCCCCCACCCCCATATACAATAAGGAATCCCCAAAGTTATGCCAATGAACTGGAATTGAGCTGAGAAAGACAAGTAAAAGCAGGTGCATTTAGCTAATATTGCTAATAGGGAACACCACTGAGCTGATTTTTAAATTGTTATTGTTTAATAGTCGTTTCCCAATTGTCTTTTATGCACCCAGTTCCCACAGTTTGGTGCAGTCAGTCAACATTCAGAATTTTTTCTTGGCTCTCAAGAAGAAAGAACAGTTGAAACTGCTTACTCTTGATGGTTTGGGGTACACTGCCTATGATTTGCAAAGTTTCCCATACTACTTTTCAGAAGTCTTTCATCTTTGTAAATACTTGCTGGTGTAGTTCAAACTAAGCATTAAATACCTAGCTTTGGTCGTATCTAGGCAGTCCACATATTTGGCAGTTATTCTGCTGCCAGGGAATAGGCTAAAGAAATAAGAGAGATGCTGCACATATAGTGAACCTCACTTGAGAGTCAGTGTTCAGTAAAGAAATGTGTTCAGTTACTCATAAAAAAATCTGTTTCTTCCAATCCCTCCCTTGGTGATTTCCTAACTTTATTTTCACTCTCCCCACCTTTATTTTTTACTTTTTTTTTTTTTATGGAGGGAGGCTTTGTTACGATCGTTCTCTAGAAATGCAGCCTGTGCTCTTAACCACTGAGCCATCTCCCCAGCCCCACTTCTCTTCTTTTTCCTTTTCGGCCTCTGGTATTTTAAGTCATGCACTCTCAGTTTGGAAGGACCTTGAGTCACGCAGTTCATTGCTTTGCTCAGTACTTAAAGCACCTCCTCACTCGGTTCTTCACGGCACTGCCAGCCAGGCTTCCAGATCCATTTTGGCAATGCCACTTGTCATCTCAAATGCATTTTTATTGTTCATCTGTTGCCACAAGATAAAGGTCAGAGCCATTAGCCTCCAGCAGGATCCCAGCAGCCTTTGGACTTCACCCCATTTATGCTTAACAGCCTACTCACTGTTTACCACACAGGCTGTGAATGCTTCAGACCCTGGGATCTCTTCTATGCTCTTCCATGGAACAGCCTCCTCCTTCCTGTTGGCCTTTTATGCCCTCCTTGTCTGGCCCCTGGTTTAGGCCTTTCCCAGAGGCCACAGCTCACATCAGCAGGCCCACCGGTCTTGTATCCACATGTCACTTGGCAAGGCCAGTTCTTATGCCATGGCCGATGCAGCCTCTTGCCTGACACCTGACTTCATCTCCCACAGCTAACACTGAATACAGAACTGTGCTTGAAAAGCCTCAGAATCTCATTCTTCCCAGGTTCTTCCCTTCTACAAAATCAGACTTCCACCATGGTATAAAAATCTGTTATTTACCCCACTAAGCCAGCTAAGAGTAGACACATTATCAGATAGGTTTAAAATGAAAGGGAATAAGGGTGCTGGGTTGGTAGCTCCGTTGCTAAGTGTTTGCCTTGAAAGCACGAGGATGAGTTCAGTCTCCGAGAAGCTACATTTTAAAAAAGGAACCAGTGACCTGGAGAGATGGCTCAGTGATTAAGTGCACTGGCTGCTCTTACGAAGAGAACCCGGGTTCAGTTCCCGGGTGGCTAACAACCATCCGTAACTCTAACTCCGGGGAATCTAACACCCTCTTCTGACCTCTGCAGGCATTGCATGTACTGGTGCACTTACATACATGCAGGCAAAACACTCATATACACAAAATTTAAAAAATAAAAATAAAACAGGCATGGTGGTGCACACTTGTAATTAATCCCAGTTCCGGGGAAGCAGAGACAGGAAGATGGCTCAGGCTCCCTGACCAGCCAGTCAGCCTGCTTGGCAAAGTCCCGGTCAATGATGGAGGTCATCCCTAAAAACAAGATGGATGGCACCCGAGGAACAACAGCTGAGGTCCTCCAGCCTCCACACACATGCACACAGTTACAGCTACATACACACATGCACCTGCACACAGAAACACACATGTAAACCTTTTTTGGCTTAAAAGAAAAGAAATTCAGCAAAAAAAAAAAAAAAAAAAAAAAAACAGTTCTTGGAAGTCATCACAGAATTTTATATATGATGAACCATATTATAAATGATAATACAACAAATATTTAAGTATTAGCAGCAGATCAGGCATCTTTTGAAAGCTGTATGTTCAAATTTTTTAACTTTACAACCATAGGTCACAGAAAGGGATTCAATTTATGGGATATGTTTCACATTTCTTCCATGAATTGTTAAATATTTAAGCACCATAAAATTCAAGCATTTCACATGAATGTGGCAGCCAGCCTTCATGATTTAAAATGTGTTATACAGAGTTTCTGGCAGATGATAACAGTGACAATTGCAGAGTGCTGATTTTTTATGTCAATTGTTTTGTTCCCTGCAGAACCCACTGATAATGTCCCTGTAGGAAATTGTGATGGGGGGGCGGGGGGAACACAATAATTTTGTGAATTGAAATAAAGCAGCATTCCTAAAGACATTAAGAATTGGCCAGGTATAAATAATTCAAATCAGTAATTCATATGCCCTGTGAGAGTCATAATGTAATTTTGCTGTGGAAAAAAAAAAAAGGGCACCCAAGAAATAATTTTCATGTTAAACAGCTTATTTTAAAGAGAAAACATGACCATCATAGACACGGTGACTACCCTGCACTAGACAGGCAATAATCCAACTCTAATTTTCAGCACAAGAGGCGGTGCGACATCCCACCTCGTGAATGAGGGAAGGGAAGTGTGGGGAGTTTAGCAAAACTCACCCATGGTGATGTAGCAGGTAAGCACAGCTGGACTCGAATCTGGGTTCATCTCATCAGAAGACCTTGGTTTTCCGCTGCTCTTGCAGCCATTCCAAGTAAAAGGGACAGCTAGTGAATCGTCCCAGTGGGCCGATAACTCTAACATAATAAAGAGTGGTCTGCTCTGTGATAATCTATGGAAAGCTCAAAATAAAGGCTTTTGTAAAGTCCAGTTTCCACAGGCCATTCTGCCGACTTCTTTTAAGCACTGGGGACATGGACAGACTTGGTAGGGGCAACTTGGTGCCAAGAAGTCCTTAAAGCATAAGGGAGTACAGATTATAGCATGAGATCAAACCTTACCAATCGGTATCTTGGGAATAATTGCAGTAAGAGATTGTGGATGTGTCGATATGTTCAACATTCTGATACTCCAAAGTAAGACAACATTTATACTTGTTCCCTCTTACCAGGAGGACCTTGTACACAGAGCTGAACACTGAAGGCCTAATAGCACATGAAATTGTTGTTGAATGGAAGAATTAAGAGTCAATAATACATCCATGTGCTAACAACACTGGGCATCCAAAGACAGGTAAAGCATGGCCCCTGCCCCCTAGGGGCTTCCGGTTTTAGCCATAATATGGAAGAAGTGTGCTGAGACATCATTAGAGCAGTTGATATGAGTGACTGCTGGAGCATCACCTATTCCAGGGCTCCTTGTAGTTCCTATACCCACCTCTAATTCAGTCTGCTAGGACAGATGTCTACCAAGTCAACAGACCTGAGGGAGGAGACACCAAAGACACAGAGGTATGTGAGTGTTTGCAGAGCTCTACATACTTCATGCTAACTCGAGATACTCTCAAGACATAAGTCTCACAGTTCATGTTGGACCTCCCGCCCCATGTGAAGTCATTTGAACTTCACAGGCAGTGTGGTCATTCAAAGATTTTAAGCCAAAAGATAACAAAATCTAATTTGGATGGAACACAGGTGACTGCAGGGATTTCAAACTGCCCTGAGGATAGGTGGAACTCCATACGAGAAGCAAGGGCACTGGAGCGAGATAACAGCCCACAGGACATGGGGAACAGACATGCAGCACAGAGGCCTGCCTGAATGGATAGGTGCCCCTCAGGGAGATCTAGAAGCCAGAAGGAAGCATCCCAGCATCCTCCAGCATGGGACCTCAGAGCCAGTCCCATTAGGCATCTAGGCACATTCCAGCCCTTCAAGTGTAGGAGCCTTGAGAAAGGTTTAGATAAGACCATCATAGTAATAGATTAGGATAACTGCAAAGCTTTGTTCATGGCCCTGCTGAGCAAGGGCGTTTCCAAGCACATTGAGATGTAGCCAGATAGAAAAAGAAAAGGACTTAAAAATAACACGGTCTTCTGTCTTAAGAATGTTTTTCCCCTTTCAACATTTAAAAATACAGAAAGACCCTGTCTCCTTGTCTCAAAAACAAAACAAAAAACAGCCTTTTCGGTTTGTGCCATATTCAGGATCTGTACTTTAAGGTGCTTCGTGTTCTCCATCCCAGGAAGGGACACTGTCCACCTGTTTCAGCCCTCCTCTACTTTGCTTTGGAAGCTTGTTAATAGTCTAACAGCGAAGTTGAAGTGTTCAACGTTACGTCACAAGCAAGGTGTGCTCTGTTGCATCACCTGTTCCCCTCATCGCCCCCTGGAACATATTCTCAGACAAAGTTCGTGATGAATTTCTGGGGCCTTTGTTTGGGGTGATAGATGAAGGTTCTAGAAATAGAAGCATAATTACAAATAAGGTCGAAATGGGCTTAAATAGCATGAGCTTTAAAAAGTCAAATGGATGAAATGAACTGGGGGATATCCTACTACATCAAGAAAATATTACACGTTGAAATAGAGATGTTCCTCAGCTTGGGTTACACAACGAATTCCAGGCAAGGCTGAGACACTGCCTCAAAAACAAAACAAAGGAAATGGTGTTTGCTTTTAATGTCATTTTTAAAAGGTTTTCATCCGAGTAGGTGTCCAGACCTTTGCAGACTGCCTGAGAGGGCCTGGATCCAGTTTACAGGTGGTGATAAGTATCCTAGTCACCACCCATCAAAGAAAAAATTTTAAAGGCAATCCTAGCACTCGGGAGGCTGCAACAGGCTAATGCCAAGAGACCAGACTAGGCTACAGACTGAGGC